ATTTGCAAATAAATTCTTTCCAAATCAGCCAATGTGATTGTCTGGATTTTTTTTCTCATTTTGTCTCTCTCATAGTTGAGGTCTACCTATGATACCAATTACAGGCCTCTCATCTTTTTAAGTGGGAGAACTTGCACAATTGGTGGCTGACTAAGTACGTTTTTGCCCCACTGTAGCTATATCTTTCAATATGTGCCCTCTCTCCCCTCCTCCTAAATATCCTACATACCCTGTATAAAAAGATCTGTGTACTTTTTTAAAATCTGGAAAACAGCTATGAATTCCCAGAGCTGTGACGTCACCCATAGTTTCCCATGGCCCATCCATTGTCGGTGCTCCCTCCACTCTCCCCTGCACTCTCCACTGACACAGGAGAGCCAGAGCTGCTGTATCACATGATCAGACCAGATTAAAAAAGTACACAGAACTATTTTATAGAGGGTATGCAGGGACATATCCACTCAACGGCCTCTTTATTAGGTACACCTGATAAATTGCTTGGTAACACAAACTGCTAATCAGCCAATCACATGGCAGCAACTCAATGCATTTACGAATCTCGATGTGGTGAAGAAGCCTTGCTGAAGTTGAAACCGAGCATCAGAATAGGGGAAAAAAAAAAAAAAAAAAAAAAAAACGGGATTTAATGTGCAACTAAAGCTTGTTTTTTTTTTTTTCTTAAAATAACAAACATGTCTATACTTACCTGCTCTGTACAGTGGTTTTGCACAGACCAGCCCCAATCATCTTCTTTTTGGGTCTGTACCGGCACTCTCCCCCCTTCGAGCAGTGCCCACATGGAAAGCTGCTCGCTCTCGGGCCCCGCCCCCACACTCTCCTCATTGGCTCACTGGCTGTTATTGACAGTAGTGGGAGACAATGAGCTTCCACTGCTGTCTCAGCCAAGGAGGAAGAGTCTCCAGACAACAGAGGCTATTGTGAACGTTGCTGATCAGAGGAGGCTCAGGTAAGGATTGGGGGGGGGGGGTTCCTGGTGGGGCCACACAAAAGTTTTACCTTCCTGCATAGAATACATGAAGGTACAAAAAACATCTGCCTTTACAACCACTTTAAGTGACTTAGACCAGCCCGTCTGGCATCAACAACCATGCCACATTCACAGTATTCTAAAAACTGCTCAACTACTAGGCTTTTCACACACAACCATCTCTAGGGTTCACAGAGAATGGTCCAGAAAAGGGAAAACATCCAGTGAGCGGCAGTTGTGTCGACGAAAATGCCTTGTTAATGTCAGAGGGAAACGGGCAGACTGATTCGAAATGATAGAAAGTCAACAGTAACTCAAATAACCACTTGTTACAACCAAGGTATGCAGAATACCATCTCTGAATGCACAAACCTTGAATTAGATGGGCTACAGCAGCAGACCACACCGGGGTGCCACTCCTATCATCGAAGAACAAGAAACTGAGGCTACAATGCGCACAGGCTTGCCAAAATTGGACAATAGAAAATTGGAAAAGCGTTAACTGGTCTGGTGAGTTTCGATTTCAGCTGCGACATTCAGATGGTAGGGTCAGAATTTGGCGTAAACATGAAAGCATGGATCCATCCTGCCTTGTATCAACAGTTCAGGCTGGTAGTGTTCGTGTAATGGTGTGGGGGATATTTTCTTGCCACATGTTGGGCACCTTAGTACCGACTGAGCATTGTTTAAATGCCATGACCTGCCTGAGTATTGTTGACCATGTCCATCCCTTTATGACTAGTGTACCTATCCTCTGGTGGCTACTTCCAGCAGGATAATGCACCATGTCACAAAGTTTAAATCATCTCAAACTGTTTTCTTGAACATGACAATGAGTTCACTGTACTCCAATGGCCTCCACAGTCCCCAGATCTCAATCCCACCTTTGGGATGTGGTGGAGATTCGTATCATGGATGTGCAGCCAACAAATCTGCAGCAACGTGATGCTATCATGTCAATATGCATTAAAATCTCTGAGGAATGTTTCCAACACCTTGATGAATCTTTGCCAGGAGGAATTAAGGCAGATCTGAAGGCAAGAGGGGGTCCAACCTGGTACTAGCAAGGTGTACCTAGTAGTGGCCGATAAGCGTATGTACTGTATGGAAGCTTATTAGCTGAATGTGTTGAGTAGAAATATACTGAGTGATAAAATAGTGACAAGATATAGTATACAAATTGTAGAATTGACCAAAGATAAAGTGTACTATGGCCAAACACTTACTTCTTATCTTGTCCTTCAAATGTGAGTCGATTTGGACAGTTCCTCCATTTGTGACCACTTTTTCCACACAGAAAAAACAGCCACCCACAGCACCACCGCAGGGATGCTCTTGTAAACAGCACCGATCACAGGAAGAACAGTGAGCCCAAGCTGGAAAATAAAAGCTATTCAATACATTTCCATGGTACATTTTTTTCTCAGTACCATATGAGGCCCGTACATCATGAATCAGCCATTTGTTTTTTTGTGACTGGAACTACTTAGTGCTATGTGCAGGCAGCCCATGTAAGTCTATGGGGACCCAATGGCTGTAGGAACAAAGCCGCCCATCCTAATTTGACAGCCATGTGGGTGAGCGCCACCAAACATACACTGTCTGTGCTCACAGCTGTTCACCCAAACTCATGTGCTTATTAAATTAGGATGAGCATCTGCATCCATACAGTCGCTGCATTCCCAGACTTACATGAGCTGCCTGCACAAATCACCTGCCGGCTTTAGCAGCAAATACAAATGGCAGATTTATGATGTACAGGTCTCAGCACCTATAGCAAAACTTAAGAGGGATATGTCCTAACTGTGGAATCATATCAAATATTTGCAGCTGGTAAAAAATGTATTGTGAACTTTGTCAATTACATGAAACTGTCAACGGATACAATGAATACACAACTACTGCAGGCTTGAAGCTGACCCTACTTGGACTGAGTAGCAAGAGCTATTCCAGAGCTAGAAAAATTCACACAGACCCAGAAAAGTGAATTATTGCTGGTGTGTGAGAGACAGGTTTTCAGGTTGTTTTGGATGCTCACCAACAGAAGATAGAAACAATATCACTGGAGTGGGGGCTCTGTGATAGCATGTGATGACAAACACAGTGTCTGAACCTGGCAATACCCACCCAGTATTTTAAGATAAAATTATCAAGATATTCAGGACAGACAAGGATAACTCTGTAGGTACAGTAGAAAATGGAGCAATAATCATAGCAACGAATCAGAAAAATCAGATTTCTGCACTGTAATCAGATCAAAAGGAAATATAACAAACATTTTACTAGCGTTTTTTTTTTTTTTTTTTTTTTTATGGACTACCATTTTTTACTAGCTGCCACATTTTTTTTTTTACTGGCTATCATAGGTTTGATTTACTAACTAGCAGTCATGACAAATACGTGGGCAGCCATTCTTCAACTTCTTAAAATGTCATCTCTCTGTCATTGTGACCCATTTGTTTAACCCCTTCACACCTAAGGGTAAAATAAATCTTAAAGCCTAAAGTAAAATTTTACAACTTTGACATATGTTAGTAAAACCGTACATATCACCGTATATATTACCACAACTAATTTGTACATCCAGGTGGATTATACCTTGGTTTTTTTTTTCAACACAAACTGGGCTTTCATTTGGTGGTAAATGGTAATGGATGTCTCCTGGCCCAAAACAGTAAAAAAAAAAAAAAATTTTTTTAAAATGTAGCTGTGTGTTTTCTTGTTACTACCATAACCTACCACCAAAGAACAACCCAAAATAATTTTTCCAGCTCTTAACGATCACAGCGCGATACCATATTTGTGTATGTTATTTGTTTGTACCTGTACTACGGCCCAGAAACAATAGTGCGCATTTTGTTTTTTGATTTTTTTTTTCCCCTAAAAACACACTGACACTAACACCAATTTAAAAAAAAAAAAAAAAAAAAAAAAAAAAAAAAAAAAACACACACACAACACACAACCCGACCTTTGCCCTGAGCTTGATCCAAACACTAATCCTAACACTGAAGTAGATCAAACCTTGATCTAGGTATTTTTTTTAATATTTAACTTTTTTTTTTTCTACAGTTTTTTTTCCCCTCTGCAAGGAGAGAGAGAGATACAAATGTATCTCTCTATTTGCTCGAGAGGAGAGAAATGCCGATAACCGGCATTTCCCTGTTTACATGTGATGAGCTGTGATTGGACACAGCTGATCACATGACCGAGCCGACATCTTCTGCTCTTTCCGTGGATCGGTGATCCGCTGTGTCCGAGGGACACAGCGCACTGCCGATTGCTGCGCTCCCTGAGCTGCGCATGCGCAGTGAGAATGGGAGGACGTCCTCCCAGAACGAGAGAACCACCTTGCGCCCGTCATTTTACCATATGGCGAGTGGGAGGCGGTTAAAGAGGTGCTTATCCGCATCCTTGTCCCGGGTGATAGACTCTATATAAGCTGGATGGTCCACACAGGTAACGGCTATGTAACTAGGATTTTCAAAAGAAGAGGTCAGTAATATGAGCCTCCATTCTTTTCTTATGAGAGGTTTCCTTTAACAGGATTGCTTTCATTTCCTCCACTACAACATTTATCAGGTGTTTTTTTGTGGATTTATGCTCAAAGTGGAAATTTGCAATGTTCTAGGGTACATTTAGAAATGTTAATTGTGCCTAAACTGTACCCTAAAATGTATGTTTTGTCTGGAATTCCTCCTTATATAGCAGTGCTTTTCCTACTGCCTAGGCACTCTATTGCTAAATCCAAAATAGCTGTATTATCTGCAGTGTGAGATCTAAGGCACTGCTGCCTCTGACTGCTAGTTCTATGAGATTTGGAGTGAGGTGATGTCACTACTGTTCTGCTTACTGTTCTCCTTGCTGGAGGATCTGACATGAGGAAGCAAAACCCTCCCTCTAATAAGATGCTTGCCATTTTTTTTTAGGCACAGCTTCAAGAGCTCAGTTCCTTTTAAAAGCGAAGGCTTGCTAATATAGTGAATCTATGAAACAAAGACTTTGCTAGTCATTACTTACAAGGTTTCACACATTTATTGCATAAGGAGCAATGCTTCCACTGTCTGCCATCCTGCAAAGACACAAACACATTCTGATGTGATTCTTCAGAAGCAGATATCCAGCTAGAGAAGCATGGGCAAATTCAAATACACATCAAGGTCTATGTCCAGGCAGCACCTGCGCATTACAACCCCATAGACTTAGATGTCCTGCTGTCTCTGGCCTTGGGACACAGCCCCATAGAAGTCTGCAGGGCACTAATGCACAGGTGTGGCCAACGCATAGGTAAAGACGTATAGAAGATCCAAAGTGCATTCTAAATCCCACCCCATATTCAGTTTCATTTACTTTACATTTTTTGGTTTTTCTAATAAAAAACGATGAGTTCTTAAGCTACCAGAAATTCAGGCACCACTACATACTGCCTTGAATAATATTATAGCCGGGATCCTCTACCTCTGGGATTTGCAGGAAAGTTCTGACCATAAAAACATGATTTATATTACTCAATTATATAGCACAAATATTGGAGTGCATTGCAGGACATACTGATCAATCACAAAAGTCCCTGTCCCCAAATAAACTTTAATCCGAGGTCTATAACAGTGCGCATTTCTTCTATACGGTTCCAGTCACCTATTTTGCATAAGGAAGATTTTCACTCCATATTCCTCATTTGTTTATGAAGATTGCATGAACTTGTATTCATTCATTGATATATATCACAGCGCTGCACTTTATATATATGATTTATGATACAAGGTTTTGGTGATTCCTTTGAGTGTTCTAGCAGCTGATTATATGAGCGCTCGCTTTATATCTATATACTTTTATTAAACTTCATATACTTCTATATACATATTAACTTCATATACGTGGTCCCTTGTGGGAACTGAACTGAGGACCTCAGTTAGGCAAAAGTGACACTTATCCAGCATGCAAATCAGGCAGATGCATAATATTTGTACATAGTTTGTGTACACACGTAGTATATAGGACCCATATAGAAAAATATATATCTAAAAAGGTATTACCTTGGAGGGACAAGTGTTGCAGGTTTCACAGTGCTTATTTTCAGAGGACACATATCTCTGGCACAGTGAACAGAACCTAAATGACAGAACAAAATAATAACAAGTATAAAGTCAAATAAAAAGATATACCCCAAAAAGAACAAAAGGGTGATTGGATGATCTGACAGCCCCCAAAGGGATTGGCTGGCGGTCCATGAATGTTTAAAAGACAAGGTCTAAGGGAGGATGTAGGTATTATTATTATACAGGATTTATATATCGCCAACAGTTTGCTCAGCACATTGAGGGATAAAAGGGACCATGTAGGTATAAGGAATGATGTAGATACACCCTATAACCAGTCCTGCTTATCTCATCTCAGGAAGACCAGTGATGATTGGAGGAGGCTCCCAGCTGTTCAAAGTTTCTCTTAGCAGAGGCTGACCATTTCCCCACAGCCATGAGCAGGGATGTTGGACTCCTATCGCCCGACGCCCAGGCAATGTAGTTCCGGGCGTTGGGCAGGTAGTTTTTTTTTCTACCTTTAGCCCTACTGCGGGCAAGCAGTGGGCTCACCTGTCAGGTGGAAGCATTTGGCAGCAGCGTTGCTACTGATTGCCATCACACACAGTGCCAGCCTCTCCGCGTCCCCTATGTGATGGAAAAAAAAAAAGTTTTTTTCTTTTTTTCATTGTAAAAAATGAAAGTTACACTTAAGCACATACCATCCCCCCCTAATAAAATATTGAGGTCCCCACCCCCTCATATATGCATGTACATACGTAAAAAGCACAGGCTGGGGCGCCTGCGCATGGAAACCATCAATTGCGATACACGTCACATATCGCCGTGCACGCCAGAATGAGAGCAATAATTCTAGTACCAGACCTCCTCTGTAACAGTAAACAGGTGACCTATGAAAGGAGCTTTAAAAGTGTCGACCTATAGAAAATATAGGGTACTGAAGTTCGTTGCCATTTCACGAGCGCGCACAAATTTAAGGTTTGACAAGTTGGATATCTATTTACTCGCTGCAACCTCATCTTTTATATTTTACAAAAAAATAGGGTAATGCATTGCTTTTTTGTGCCCTAACATTAACTTACTTGTAATTTTTACTAAACTTTTGCGGTAAAATTATGCAACATAAAAATTTGAACTACCACCATTTTATTCTCTAGGGTGTCTGCTTTCAAAAAATATATAACGATTGGAAGTTTTATGTAATCTTCAGGCCTAAAATGATTTTTTTAAACGTGTGCAAAAAAAAAAACTTAAAAACGTGTCTGGCTGCCTTTCCTGCCGAGCACCCATTAGTTGTTCATCACACTGCAAGGTCTCTCCCCTCCCTGCCCTGGGTGCGGTGCTGGAGAGAGGCAGGGTGGGGAGGAGGAGGAGATAAACTCTAATTGAGGGGACGGGACTGGACTGGGTGCGGTGCTGGAGAGAGGCAGGGAGGGGAGGAGGAGGAGATAAACTCTAATTGAGGGGACGGGACTGGACTGGCTACAGTCAGGATTGGGAGGAAAGAGCTGTGTGATGCTGGACTCCCTCCAGTTAGGAAATGAGGCAGGTTCTGCACAGTGTGTAGTGAAATTAGGAACGTGTACAACTGTGTACGACTGAAGGTACAAATGTTAGCATCTTGTATAATATGTGTGTGTACACAGTCATCAACTTGAACTTTTAATGTAACTTTCAATACAATGGATTGCTTCAGGCATGTATATGTGAATGAAGTCTCTTATTCAGTACATAACGGCTATAACACAGCCATGCTCCAACATAAATGAAGTGTTGGCTGACAATCCACAGATGCCTGCCTAGTACAGATAAACAGAAAGGTCCAAGTATGAAAGAATATTGCACCTGTAGCCTTCACTTGCTGGTAGCACAATTTTTTCAGGTGAAAGATTGGTGAAAATACGGACCGGTGACTGTTTCCTTCCAGTCTTTCCATGTTTGTATACAGTATGGTTATCATAGTCCACCTGAAACAGCAACAAGATTTAGAATAATATCATAACCAGGCTGAAGACTAACTATGGATATCCGAACAATCACACATATACAACAAAACCATTCCTCCAGATTCTAAACTGAGATACTCCTAAAAAACCAGAGTTTGGAAAGGTTTCTTCACAGTGAGAGCTGTGAAAATGTGGGATAGACTCCCTCAAGAGTTGGTTCTGGACAGCTCAGTGGACTGCTTCTTAGATACACAGAATATAACTGGATACTAACATTTATAGGTAAAGTTGATCCAGGGAATATCCAATTGCCTCTCGGGGGATCAGGAAGATATTTTTTTCCCAGCAGGAGCAAATTGAATCATGCTTTGCTGGGTTTTTGTTGCCTTCCTCTGGATCAACTGTAGGTATAGGATTATAACTTTTTTTTTTTCCTATGGTTGAACTGGATGGATTTTTGTCTTTTTTCAGCCAGACTATGTAACCATATACAAGGAATAGTCTATGTGAACATGCACTGCAGCACTCACCTGATAATCCAGCATGCTGAACCCAGCAGAAGACTGCAAAATACGGGGCTCAAAGAAGTAGGGAAAAATCCAAAACGTGGCCAGCTCAATGGAACCTCCTGGTAGGAAGAAAAAGGTTTACTCTTCAATAGTGAAGGCCCTATGTTATGATTTGATCTGATCATTAGATCATTAGAAGTGGCAGCTCTGACCAGTCAGTGCAAAAAAGAAAATTAAGATGTGCAATCTGCCATATCACAGAGCAACCAGGTGATCAACGACTGGCTTTTGCTATCAGGTTTCTGTGTGTAAGCCACAGCAAAGGGTTTGTTTGGGAAGAACTCTCCTGCCTAAGTCTAGGTTCACACTTGTAGGGCTCTGATAGCTGTGTTTTGCACGGGCATGGCAGCACAATCATTTCAATGGTCTGCTGTGCCTCCAGAAAATGCAGGGAAAAAGGTCCATGCTCCATTTTTTAAAACACAGCCTGCACAGAAAATGCAAGTGTAGTGTGGTTCCCAGTACATGGGGGGTACCATTAAGATTAGGCATCTCCTGAGCATCAGTGCATTTTTCTGTGCGGGTGGATGTGACTGCAGGAACAGGTACATCCTGCAGCAGCAATCATGTGCACAGGTAAGAACCCAGGTTTACAGAGAGCAAAAGCGGTTCCCAGATCAACAAAATGGAGTGGGATGGACTGGTGCATTCCAGTAACAACTGAATGAAAAATGGAAGTACTGAACAGATATGATGTGCATCCTTGTACTGAAAAAGTATCCCAAGATTAAATTACCTTTGAGCCCCACTGAATTCCCTGGATTCACATGCACACATTTCTCTTTTTAAACTGTCATAGGCCAGTTCTAAAGCGCTTTCATGATATATTGCAGCAGTTCCCATCCTGGGGTAAGCGTACCTTGAGAGGTACATGCCAGGAAGTAGAAGTTTGCAAAAAAAAAGGAGTGAATAAATGGCAGAAAAAGCCAGCGATGTACCTGTGACTATAAACAAAGTGTCGCTTGGTTGATAGCCGGGAGCTTACCAGGAATCACCCGATTATGCCAGCTTTTATCAGCAGTTGCCTACTCTCGTTAGCATTGTAGCATCTGCGACCTAGGCACCTGAATGTCTAAAAACATGAGTAATGTCGTGCTGCGCATGCAAAGTCTGCCAGTTGCTTCCTTTTCCAGAGAGTAGGAGGGAGGGCTGAACCCATGGGACCTATGCTGCTGTGTAATGTAAGTGACAAGTATACTTAAAATTAGGACCATAGAAGTACCAGAGCTCAATGCTAACATGCTGTATACTTATGAACCAGAAGCATTGGTGAGGTTTTAGGGCGAGACCTGGTGCTCCTTTGGACCCAATTTAAAAAAAAAAAATACAGCTTGTGGACGTGTTTCTGGTGCGGTCAGTATGGTACGGACTGATTTGGAAGGTGTGGGTGGGGGACAAGTTATTGAAAATGGAGAATCACTGTGTGCAAAGTCCTCGGTTTAAATTCCTATTAGTGACACTAAGGCTCCTTTTTGCTTTTTGCAGAAACGTACTACAGTCCATTTAACATGGTTTCCTATGGAAAATGTTAACATCTATGCTTTTTTTTTTTTTTTCCCTCTCTCTTTATGCTTTTTTTGAGCTGCTGCGTTTTTTGGAAAGGGTCAGGGACTTTTTTAAAAGCAATAGAGTTCAATGGAATATCTGCTGAAATGCATGGTAGTTCGTTTTTGTCACGTTTTGCATTTGTATTCTGCAAAGCCAGAAAAAAAAAAAAAAAAAAAAAAAAAAAAAAAGGAAGCTGAACAAAAACCGCAAAACATGGTAAAACCGCATCAAAAACGAACTGCGAAAAGCACTGAGAAACGAACAAAAAGCAAACTGCATAGGTGTGAACGGAGCCGAATTGCATGTTAATTGAGCATAGTGTGTGTGGGTTTGTATGACTGTTGACAATATTAGTTCCATTAAAAGCAGGGAGTGTTATGAAGCTTTTCATAAATCAAAGAAAACCATTCATATTAGTTGCATGATTTAACCCTTAAAAAGATCATCCAATGTTATTTGTGTTAATGCTGTCTGATCAGAGTAATAGAACACAAAGTGGCCGCTGCTGAACACCTGAAACGCCTTTAATCAAACCGAACAATTTACAGAAAGACTATAATCCAAAGGAGACCGAAGCACACCCTCTAGTGGATATTTATCATAACACATCCAAACACCAAGCTGAGCCAGAAAATTTAATAATCAGTACCAGCATACCTGTGTTTGATGGTGTTCTCCACATCTCACTCATTTTCTTAAAGCTGAAAGCTAATGGTTCTACTAAACCTCCAAATGGTGGGTCAGTCACCATGATAATTCCTTCTCCGTCATCTTCCTGCAGGAAACTCTGGCATAAAGCCTTCGGAGCCTGAAAGACCCAACATATTCCTTAACACAAAATGGCATCAAATCATTTACATATTTGCTGGTGTGTCATTGAAAGCTCAATTCTAGGCATATAGAAATGATGAAAATTATTTAAGATCAGTATATATATATATATATATATATACACACACATACATACATACATATACATATATATATATACATATACATACACACACACACACACACACACATATACATATATATAAATTTTGTATTTTATTTTTATTTTTTTTTATTAAATATTGCAGTGTGAGTACCGGAATCTGACCTGGTATCAGCCTTTTGCAGTCCCTGTACGTCAGGGCTAGTGTGTGAGAGGAAGAGGCCAATCAGTTCCTGTGCTAACAAGAAGCATGCTAACAGAAAGAGACAGCAGATTAACAAAGAGCTGAGCTCATTGCAATACTGCTTCTCCCTTCGCTGTCCAATTACAGATTGGGCTCAGATTGGGCTCAAAGGAAGTGGGTTGAATCATGTTGGCCATCAGATTGAGGACATCTAGTGGCAGAAGTACTGTAGTGGAAAATTTTGCACCGATTGTGAATATTGCATATGGTTCTGACATTTTAGTTTTTAATAGGCTATTCATTTGTATCATGCTTTTTGTTAGCTAGAGTTTTGCTGTAATAAACTTTAAAACTATCAAGAAGGATCAGAAAATATGTTTAGAAAACAGGAACTTTGCTCATTTTTTGTTGTTTTTGAATTTGTAAGTATATTTGTCCAGTCTGCAGACGATCATTTAGTCCATGAATCCCAAATACCTGGCTTCAACAACTGAAAAATGCTCTACAGACCAGACCGATCGAAGTGTAAGTACTCCAGCCAGTCTAAAACTGATGAATCAGCGATTCTCTGGAAATGAACATTACTACTCACTACTGGATTTTTGTATGTATAAGAAAGACTGGACTGCTTGCTATAACAAAACAGCTAGTTATTTCTGTGGACAAGACCCGGTAAAGGAAACCAAAGACGATAGAATATGGAATCTGCCACTGCCAACTTGTTTTTATGAATGCAGGCTCCAGGGCCATCATCCATATCCTTGCTTCTGTATCTAAGAAGGCCCTAATTTGGAACAAGTATTTTAGCCAGTATAGTCAGAAAGAAGGTACTGCCCTGCTCTATATGTAGAGACGTAAGGATCTGGATAACAGCCATGGAAGCTTCATTATTCTTTCATAGGTGGAATCCCAGAGTGATATAAGAAGCCGTTGGATGACCCAGCTCAGCAGCATTTGTTGAGCAACTGCGAAATTTATGTTTTGAGAAGAATGATCTTTTATTTAACATTATAATAGTTTTATATCAACTTTAAACAATTTTTAATTATTGTTTGACATATTTTTTACTTTAATTCCAAGTCTTCATTTTAAAAATGAACATTTAAAACAAGGGGGCACCTATGGCCAAGAGTTATGACTGTGTTATACGTTTTTTTCAATTTATATTGCAGACACTGTTTGCCTTCAGGCTCTCTCTCCTGACTGAAACCACAAGTCACTCTTCTGACTTGTGCTATAGAGCAACAAACCTGTGGTGTACAGATAGCCTAGATAATGTGTGAAAGAGCCTAGAGCTCCACTTGCTGGCTGGAAATGAGAATAAAAATGTTCACATGCAAAATTTCATAGGTCTGGGCAAAAAAAAAAAAATATATATATATATATATATTTTTAGCTGTAAAAATAAAAAAAACAAAATATGGGCAAAATCACTCAATTTCAGACAGCTGATTGTACTGAATACACAAGTACAAGTGGATCAGCAAAAGCACAATTAAGTTTTTTTACAAGCTATAAAAAAAAATGCAAGTGGATGACTTGAGTTTTTTTAGTGCTGGTTAGAAAATGACAGCAAAATATGAGTGGTTCTGTAGCTAACACCACCACTTTTATTTATCCCAGAGCTGATAAATTGCTCCAGCAGCCATCAGTAAAAAAGCATGTCAGAGAGGGTTCTTTATAAAGCTTACCTCTCCACCAAAAAAATGGTGGTTAAACATGTTGTAGTGACAAAAATCACATTTGCTGTAGAACTGGGAATACCTGAAAAGCAAAACAAAACAAAAAAAAAAAAAAAAAAAAAAAAGGAAGAGCAATCAGTTACTGCATTTTGTAGAAAAATATTAATAAAGTACTGTATTCCCTATGAAAATAGCATATTGCAATAAAGTCACAATCAATGCTCTAAGTAAACCAAACTGCCTTCCTTGATGTGCCATGAAAAAAAAAAAAAAAAAAAAAAAAAAAAAAAAAAAAAAACAGACAATACATTGCCATTATCCTTGCTCAGAAAACAGTAAGGGGCTCGTAAACCCTTACATATTCCCAGGGAAGCGTTTGGACTCAGGTGATACACAGAGATTAAACAAACCCTCCTACATAAGTACCTGTTTACCAGCAGTCTTCTCTTCTCCACATCTATTCAAAATCCAGAATTTATAAAGCTTGTCTGAGATTTCAGAAAATAGGGGTCAGAGAGCCGAGTAAGAGCTCAATGAGGAGAGCTCTGAGAACTGATTGGAGGAAGGGATATACCCCTTCACACAGCTAACAGGAACAGAGCTGAGTTCCCTCTCCTGACACCGATTTTCTCTTGGGGTCAGGAAAACTTGTCAGAAGAGATTCATGCAGATAGCAGAGGAATGAGGCAGTAAATGGAAATGACAGTTTGGGCTTTTGATTAAGACAAGTACACGCTATAGAGAGATATGCTTTGCTCATAGGTTTTACAACAACCATTACCCCTTATGGACTTCAGTCTTCTATCTGCTGTCCATTTTCTGTCTGCCTTGTTTTTTTTATTCCCCATATTCTAAATGTACACACACACACACACACACACACACACACACGTCTGTGTTCACTGCGCCCCCACCCCGATGTTTCACCCACACACTGGAACATTAGAGGTCCCCAGTGGAGGTCTCCAACCCCCCCACCCCTTCTCTACAGCGGTTGATTGTTAGGACTACCTGTGTCCACCGAATACCCAATGATGTCACTTGCGTGCCCCGCAACTAGGATCACAGGAGGCTGGAAGTGCATTCTGGCTTCCGCCTCCTGCCTGCCTGGAACTACAAAGGCACGAGGGCACTCCAATGGGGGCACCTAATATGTACAGAATATAACTGAATTGGACAATAAGTTCTATTGAAAGGCTATGAAAATTGTACACTTATTTTTTGACAGACATAAAATGACTTCATGTATACTAGGATGCAAGTCATAGCACAAACATGAGATTCAGACTTCTGCTGGAAGGAAATTTGACAGACTGGACTAGTTTCTAATGGAGGCCAATTTACATTATTTCAGCACTTATTGACTTGGTCCATGGATTACATACTTGATGCCCCCACTGTTACTTGGCTTGTCTAACCTGTATTTTTGTACAGCCCTATGTGAACAGGTCACTTTACAGTAAACATGTCATGGCAAAAACTCGCAGCTTCAATTTATGACCTCCTTCTGAACATGCGAGTCTCCTGGTTGTTGTGCTTACCCTCTACATTCAATCCTTTCTGATCAGGAAGCTGGAACAAGTAAGCATGTATGAAAATCCTCATATATTTACTTGCTCTGGGTCAAAGACTCAAAGTGTTGAAAACTGAGCCTTAACTTGAAAGGCAAGCAGCATTTTCAGAGAAAAAAGGTCAATAATGGGCAGCACAGTGGCTAAATGGTAAGCACTTCCACCTGACAGCACTGGGGTTGTTGGTTTGAATCCCAGCCATGGCACCACCTGCCTGGAGTTTGCATGTTCTCCCAGTGCCTGCATGGGTTTCCTCCCGCACTCCAAAGACATGCTGGTGGGTGATTTGGCTCTGGTTTAAAAATATTGGCCCATGTAGGTATGAATGTAAGTTAGGGACCTTAGACTGTACGCTCCCTGAGGGTTAGGGACTGATGTGAATGTACAATCTATAATTAAAGTGCTGCGTAAATTGACAGCGCTATATAAGTACCTGTAGTAATAATAATGGCAACATTAGGGCCTGTGTCAGCAGGCTTTGGGCTTTTGTCAATGGCATCAGTTTGAGACCCTTCAGAGATCATTGTGGCTGCCAAATTGGAACACCCTATAATGTTTCTCTGCTGTCAGGTTTTATTTAAAGACTAAATGGCAACGGGCACACACCGAATGCTTACCTGAAATCAATGTCTAATAAGAGACTCTTTACTTTCAGCTTGGAACCTTCACAAGCCTGATGTCTGATCCATTCATGTAATCTAGAATGTCAGAATAATAGCCATTTTCAATTGCTAGTTTTAACTCAAGAATACAATGAGAATGATGAAAAAGCTAAATAAATGACCCCAAATCTCGGTCAGAGGCTAACACGTATACTCTTATGGCTGCACTAATGGCTTTATACTCAGACTACATGCATCAGATTTTGTGCAATTTAAAGGTTATTTTGGTGGACCATGACAGTATTTTTTTCAATCTCCCAACAAACTATTAGTGCCTTTGTATGTCATGTCTGACCACTGCATACAGTAAAAAACCATCAATCCTCCTGCTTCACATAACACGTGTGGAAAGTTGACCATTTTTGGCTGACTGTCCATTGTTATTTTAATGGTCAATCATATCTGACAGCTCTTCTTTAAACGCATCCACTTGTGTGCATATTTAAAAAGATTATTCACTCTCAGATTCATTTTTTGTATTTCTATTCCTCTTATTACTTCTTCAAAGTCACTGCATACTGCCCTGAATGGCTGTCTTCTGACAATGTGAAGGTTAACAGCAGTGGCCATAAGAGAAGATGCACTGCTTGGCCGCCCCTTCTGCCCGCTCTGCCATTTACAGTACTCATATTATTAATACCCTGTGTTCTGTGTGAATAGAGAAGGACCAGATAAATGACAGGATCTTCACCACCAGATCTCAGAATGCGGGAGAATAATATGAGTTTGTGAATGGCGGTAAGGTGTAAGGGGACAGGTGAGTGGTACCACTTCTCTCAGTAGCAGCTGCTGCTGTTAACCTTCACAGTGCCACAAGAGAGCCACTCAGGGCAGTAGCTAGTGACTGTGACAGACACTGCAGGGTTGATTCTTAGGCTGGCCACACAGGAGTCAGTTTTTTTTCATTCAACCAGTGGGCTGAAGGAAAAAACTGACTCAATTTCCCCATCCACACATTAGAGGTGGATGATGGAATCCTCCTCGGTAGGTCTTTGTATTCTGACAGCGAGGAGACCTTCCTGCTGTCAGAATACACGGACCAGTGATGCGGCCTATCCCATTGCCGGCAGTAAAAATTGGGATAAAAAAAATGCCAACAACGCAGCAGAAGAGAAGTCGATCTGCTAACAAGGCGGCTGAACAGTAGTCGATCTGCTAATGTTGGCCACACATGGATGGAAAACTGCCTGAATTTTGATCCACATGTGGCCACTGTTAATGAACGGAGGTCAACTGGTAGCTTTTAGCATAAGCAGCAGCCTGCTGGTAATGTGATATGCAAAAATTGTGTTTGGTGCGGTGTCCCCAAAAAATTATATTTAAAAAAAAAAAAAAGAAGATATTTACTATCTTTTAGATTTAAGGATTAGCGCATTTATAGGGAGACCTCATCTGCTTCAAGTGCCTCTACACAGATATAATTTTGTACTATTTTCTAATGGTTGCTGTGGTCAAATTGAGAACAGTGACAAAGAAAATTGAGAGAGGAGCATGGAAAAAATGTTCTGGTTTCCTATTAGATTGAACAAAATTCTAACCCTGAATCTGATTCCCAAATCACATCCATTTCAGTCCATCCTGAAATCAGGTGGTAACATTCGAAGAATTTTCATGGAGATTGAACAAAATTTATCAGGAATTTCATACAGTCACTGATGGGATTACTGAATGCTCTGACAAATGATCTTCATGTAAACATTTACACAAAAATCTAACAGCATATGGCTCACTTTAGACAGCTCTGCCTATTAGTTTGGATGAAAGAGCAGTGGGGTGGGGGGGCAAACAATTAAAGAGAAATGTAAAGTTGTTTTGTATATATTTTCCATTTTTCTTTTTTTTTTGGTCAGGCCTGGTTCACAATGAATGCAGCTTTTTAAATGCGCTACTTCAGCTGAAGTAGCGCAATTTCAAAGCCTCCGGTCAGTGCAAGTCAGAGTCGCACCGATTTGAGCAGTTACATAACAAATCGCATTCGTGTGAGTGGGGACTAAAATATAATTGTATTTCTTTTTCTATTAAAAAAAAAAAAAAATTCCAACCTTTTAAATCAAGCAAACATGTTATACTCACCTGCTCTGTGTAATGGTTTTGCACAGATCAACCCTGATCGTCTTTTTTTTGGGTCCCCCGCTGGCGGTCCTGGCTCCTCTCCCCAAGCCGTGCTCCTGTGAATGGACATTCACTCACACAGCATGGGTTAGCCCCGCCTCCCACTCTTTCCTCACAGGCTGTGATTAACAGCAGAAGGAACCAATGGCTCCCACTGCTGTGTGAGCCAATAAGGAGAGAGAGAACCAGGAGAGCCACAGCTCTGATGCACATCGAAGGAGCAAGATGGGTGTCAGGTAAGTATAGAGGGGGCTGAGGGGGAAGCTGTAGCCAGAAGGTTTTTTACCTTCATGCATATTATGCATGGAGGTAAAAAAAAAAAAAAAAAAAAAAACCCACCTTCTGCCTTTAGAACCACTTTAAGTAAATATAAAATATTGCATATGAATATTGCGTATTTTTTATCTACAGCAAAATTAATATGTAAAAAACAGATATAAAAAAAAAAATCAATTTCAAGCATTTCCCTTTGCAATTAGCATAAAATTTAGGTTTGCGCTGCTGAGACTTTTGTTTGTTTTTCACTAAAAACTTGACATTTTAAATGACATCACTTTTTACAAGATGGTCAAAGTAAACATCTTGGCTGTACCTTGGTGTACCCACACATAGGACTCGTCTGTAGCCCAGGCTGATGATGGTATCCAGCAGGAATGAGCAGCTTCTGTCCGTGAATAGGTACTGTGCATTGCTCTTCTTGTTCACCAGTGGATGAAGCAGCTGACTGGGTCTCCTCAATTGGGATACAGAAATATCACCAACAATATGATGACCCGAATGTCCCTCCCACTCATTATGCAGCAATAGCTGCTGGCAGTCTTGACAAAATTTCCTCTTTGCCAGAGGAAGCCCGATGAACTCTTGAAACCTGGTGGTAAAAGAAAACAATGGCTATAGTGGACTGTAGCAATCTCAAAATGTAATGCAGCAAACTAGTGTTTTGTTTATTTTATTGTCGTTCCCAGCAAAGTTATTTAGTCAAGAAAGTGAATGCATACATCACGTCTCCATCCAAAACCAACCTTCTATGACGTGTTTCACCTCTCTAGGCTTGCTCACAAGGATAGGGGTCCAGATATTGGTGTCTGGACCTGATCTGCATACCTGTTCCAGGGTAATGATTCAGTCTGTTTTCTTTAAATATAAGCACACATACTCACCTATGTAACTGCAGAATTGATCCAATGCAGCAGCTGTCCCCTGTTGGCTCCAAGACCAAGAACTAAGTGATCCCATGTCTGTCAGTCACAGGCTCTCTGCTCTCACTGGAGCACCAGGCTATGGAAACAGCGGGAACATTTGACACAGGCTCTCAGTGATGCACTGAGAGAATAAGCCAACTGCCAGTCAGGCATCTATGCGGATCCCACCATTATTGTCGGGGTCCCTGCAGAGTCTGGACTGACTGTATGGTATCAGCCAACAGAGGGCTTTAGCGCACGGTCAGCTGAATTTGGATCACAGGGGTGCAGAAATAAGTGCATTCCCATGACCCAGAAGAGCAGAATGACCAAAAAAAAAAAAAAAAAAAAAAAAAAAAAAAAACTTATTAGACATGTGTGGTTAAATTTCGTTCTTTGGATGTATCCGAATTTCTGAATTAAAATAGTAACGAACTTAAAACAAATCAGAAAACCCAGAACAACATTTTGTCTGAAGTTTGAATCGAATCAAATTCGAAATCAAATTACAAAACAAATTCATATTGTAAAATTGAGGATTTCCTTCAAAGAGTGTATATTACTTTTAGAGTATAGCCGTCTTCCAAAATTAAAAAATAGAACAGAATAACACAGAATAGACTAGAAAATAAAAAGGAATAGAAAATCATAGAGTAGAATAGAAAGAATATAGCAGTCTTCTGAAATTTGAATTTCAAAAAGAATAGAAAATACAGGAATAGAACAGAAGTAAAAAAAAAAAAAAAAAAAATGGAACAGAAAAAAGCAACTCAGAATAGAATAAAATAGAAAGAATACAGCTATCTTTCGAAATGAGAATTTCGAAAAGAATAGAATAAAATAGAATACATTACACTAGAAAAGAACAGAAATATAGCTGTCTTCCAAAATTCGAATTTCAAAAGAAATAAAAAACGAAGAGGTGATCAAATACCACCAAAAGAAAGCTCTATTTGTGTTGAAAAAAAGTACATAAAATTTCATTTGGGTGCAGTGTTGCATTACTGTGCAATTGTCAGTTAAAGTAACGCAGCGCCGTATCACAAAAAAATGACCTGGTCAGGAAGAGGAGTTAATCTTCTGGAGCTTAAGTAGATAAAATGGAAAAAAGAAAAAAAAAAAAAAAAAGAAGAGCACTGGTTGTATGGAAGAGGAGATAGAAAGATCTTGATATAGGAAGGTACCTGATCATGTACTGGTCATGGGACATAGGAGGCTGACAACTACGGTTATATTCTTCTCTAGCTTCCAGTTTGGCTTCTGTGACCTATTCAGAAAGAACAGAAAGAATTTTTGAGCATACGTATTTTTTACTTAAAATCCTCACTATGAAGTATTGTGCCAAGAACATGCTGAGTGCCAGGGGTGCTCTGCCTGGGTATTGATAAGCATGAAGATGATTTTGTCAGGGACATGAAGCCGATTGGTTGCTCTTGACAGAAAAAAAAAAATAAAAATTTCAAAACACACCACAAGCACATGGACATGGTACAGTAATTGTCATTTGTTCAGCTGCAACACGTCCTTGTACAGCACCAAGCAAAACAGCAGGGCACAGCATAACACACAAGTGGGGCTCAGGTGGCCTCTAAAACAACAATATGCAGGTTCTTTGATTCATTTTTACCTTTTCATCTGCCCACTGGAAGAATTTACAGTCTTTTCTATCTCGGCAGGCTGAGCAGGCATAGAATCTCCTACCATCTTCCTTCCCTTTTGCGGTCTTTACAAATAATAGTGTTGGGCCTATGAGAATAAACAAAAATATCTTTTAAAATGTAACATGTCTTGGAATGCCTATGGACAAGGGCTTTTGGAGGGGACTAGGGGCTAGCCCAGGGCTTAAGAGTTACTCACCACCATTTGCCCCACCCAACCCCTACCCTGCTAGCTACACCCCTAATTCCGTCCCTAAACACGCCCTCATAAATTATTTCATGAAATGACACTGTTAAATGTTACCCACATTATCAGGGTCCCTAGAGTCCCCCCACATTATATCAGGGCCTCCAATGTCCTCCTAAACACTCCATCATACTTAGAACATGCACCGCATACAACCATAACCCCCTATAATCTCTCACTCACAAAACCATAACTCTACCAAGCATATCCTACCTACTATCCAACCTAGCAATACCTCGAATGCCCCATACTCTACCACCCATAATAACCATGTCATCCTGAACCTGACCACCCATACATGTAGGTTTACATACAGACATACACACACACACACACACACACACACACACACACAGACACATACATACACATGTACACACACACACAGCCCTATAAAAAGTTGCAGTACTTCGTTACATTCACTCACAGAGCCGGGTACTGAACTCTAGGGGGAGGCAGAGAGCACAGCACTCCCCTTCCTTTGCTTTCACTTTGTTCAACTATTGAGCAGTCTGAGGGCTCCCAGTGTGAGTGATAGATCCGGCCCGAGTTCCGAGCCTGCTCAGCAAGACGGCCCTGTGGACACACTCGCCCCCCACCATAATTTCCACTCGCCAATGCGAGCAGGCAAGTGGAAATTTCGAGACCTGGGCTAGCCTTCTACCCACCGATTATGGCCTATGGAGAGAGCAGATCATTCTTTAATGATAGACAACAGCATGATGAACGCTGAGAGCAAGGCTTGGATTAATTCTTTGCATACAGACAATAAATCTTCCCTTCTGGAATGGATGGAAAGATGTAATATTCATCTTGTACAGGTTACTAGTCAGAGGAAATATGGTGGCCCTCATGCGGACTGGGTTGGAGAAGCTCCTCTATTTGGGACAGAAATGTTTATCAACAATCTCCCTCAAGAAATCTATGAAGATAAATTAATTCCACTTTTCAGATTGTTGGAATATTGTAGGATTAATTGAAGCATTGTCTGGCTGTTGATTATATCGCGGTTAGCTGTACAGTTTACCTTTTGCATTGTTTAGGATGACATGTCCAGTAAAAAAAAAAAAAAAATTAAATTTCCTCATAATTTTAGGCCAAAATGTATTCTGTGACATGTCTTTGCTAACAAAAAAATCCCAATATGTGTAAATGAATTGGTTTACGTGGAAGTTCACATATGGTGATATAGATACTGGAATTTATTTTATTTTGTTTTTACTAGTAATGACAGCAATCAGTGACTTATAGCGGGACTGCGGCAGGCATTCTGACACTGGGTGGAACTGACTTGGTGTCACTCACATCCCCAGTACTAATGGCACAGGGCAGGAATGGGTTAACATGAGAGGCGATCAAAGGGTTAACTGTGTGCTGGCACTGTTTTACTTGGGGGCCGTGTCCTTGTGCTTCACTGTAAGCACACTGTTTTGGATAGCTGTGCTGAGTTGACAGGGAGAAGAACTTTTAGTAAACAAAACAGTTCTCCTTCCCGTCAAAGATCGTCAGCAATCACCAGGCGCCGGCGAGTAATCGCCGGTACCCGGTGATTGACAGCCACGAATGGCGGCGCGGGTAGGACACGCGCGCCACCTATCCTGAAATATATATATTTTACACAAGATTTTGTGCACCCGCGCCGCTCTGTAGCAGTATTTCTGCTATAAGGTGGGACGGGAAGTGGCTAATCAGTATGGAATGTTTATTCCAATGTGTAATTGTGGGGACTGCCCCTATTTCTGAGTGTATAAAAGCTGTGCTCAATAAAGTAGTTCCAGTTTGCATCTAGCTAGTGTCGCCTAGTCTTGGGTGCAATGCGCAGCTATAATACCTTGGTCCTTTGTCCCAGTGGCGAGGAAGCGGTTCTCTGACGGAAGGCACAAGCTGGGTGCCAGGCATTCCATCACAATGTTCAGCAGTCTCTGACCATCTCCTGCATCATGGCCGCAGTCTCTGATCAACTCCTCAGTCTCTGACCATGTCTTGTATCATGCCATCAGTCTTTGACCATATCCTGTAATGTGTGATGTCTCCCACACTGAATATACACTAAAATTGTATGTGCGGCCCTTTGGTGATGTCAAAAGTAACACTTGAAGCCCCCCATATCAAAAGAGTTGACCACTAGTGGTGTACACCAACCAGTCACAATAGTCTCTGGTTCTAAAAGAATTTACAGAATGACTTGTGAACAGGCAGGTTGTTTTTTTTAAAATGTAGAAGAAACATACTTTGTCTCATCTGCATTAAAGTTTATTGCCTGCCTGTCAGCTCAGTGTACAGATTCTGCACCTGCAGAGATAAATGAACTCCCATGCATGCGTGGGAGTGATGTCCTCAAAACAGCCATAAGGATAGGAAACCCAGAAGAAGACCAGCTGAAGATGTCAGGAGCTCTGGGACACTGCAGTGCTTGAGTAGAGGCGAGTATAGATTTAGGTGGTCATTCAGGGGGCAGAAAAAACACAGATCAAATGCTTGGTTTTACCACCCATTTTCTGCCCATGTGAAATGACCCTAACAGAGCCCTGTACAGCCGTAAAACCTGAGGTTCTAATCCTTCCCCACTCTATCCAAGATTGGAAAAAAAAAAGTTTATTGATGAACTTTAACATAGACATATTACAGCTGGACTGAAGCACAGCAATAACGGGTTTAGGGCTTGTTCACACCAGCAGCAGTCAGGTGTGTTTTAACCGCGTCCCGCCCGCCATATAAGGAAATAACGGGCTCAAGGCGGTTCTCTTGTTCTGGGAAGACGTCATATGACGTCCTCCCAATCTAACCGCATGTGCACAACCCCAGAGGCATATAGCACGGCGATCGGTGGAGCGCTGTGTCCCTGGGACACAGCGGATCACCGATCAACGGAAAGAGACGATGACGTTGGCTCTGTCATGTGATCAGCTGTGTCCAATCACAGCTGATCGCATGTAAATAAGGAAATGCCGGTTATTGGCATTCCTCTCCTCACAAGCTGTCACACTGACAGCTCGTGAGTAGAGGAGAGCCAGTAATCGGCATTCCTCAGAGGGACATGTACACTGATCACTGATGATCAGTGTGTCCTAATGATCAGTATACCCCCATCAATGCCACATGCCAGTGCCCATCAATGCCACATGCCAGTGCCCATCTGAGCTGCCTTTCAGTGCCACCTATCAGTGCCAGTGAGTGCTGCCAATCAGTGCCACTTATCAGTGCCAGTCAGTTTTATTGTGTTGTAAACAAGTCCCTAATGCCATAACAACATACCAGGTCACTCACACTATGCACATGATTATAACATGGACACAATCATACATACACAATTGGCTTTGACAGTCAGCAGATGTTGCAATCGTTATTGTTACAAACATTCATTGATCACAAAATTGTCATCCTCAGATATACGAAGGTCAGTTTGTCCAGCAGGAGGTCTCTGTCATCTGGATGACAGAGACGCATGTAGTTTATGTTTGGTAAATGCAAATGCTCATTTCTGCCACTACATTCATAATACACATTGAGGGCTTGTGTACACCACAATCTCTGCATTCAGGGCCGGGTCTCATTAGAACGCATGCTGTGAGGTTTTGACAGGCTATTCATTTAAATGGACTGCTAAATGCACAGGAAGACATGAAACGTAGTTGCAGGCGCTACTTTTACAAATCGCACCATACCAAATCGCATTATACTGCAGTACCACGTGATTTGGTGCCTGCAAACACATGGCACATGCATGCGTCTAGGAAGGGCAGCATGTTCATGTGTGGAGTGGAAAACACGCCTTTCCCTCAATGTGTTCTACTGTCAACTGGCCCTCGCTGTGCACTCTGCATGTGTTTATATGCGTTTTCAGTGCATTCCCAGGAGTCTGCAATGCATTTTTTGGAATAACTTTTCACATATTTCAGTATGCAAAAAAATGTAGCATGCTGTACTTTTTTTTTTTAAGCACAATTAAAACCACTGCAATAGAGTAAACTAGGCTTACAGGAATACATTCATTTTTCACTTTCATAATACATTTGTGCTGCATTTAAAAACGCACCTGACTGCAATGGTGTAATCAAGCTCTAAGGCTGCAATCACACTATGGCAGCATCTGAACGCTTTTACTGCCCGGACAAACCGGTGCGATTTCAGGTTCGAGCTGCGGATTGAAATTGCATCTTAATGAATGTTAGTGTCTTAACATGTGCGATTTGCTGCAGCGTGATTTCTAAAGTAGTTCTTGCATTACTTATTCCACAGTTCTGTTGCGATTTCATATACATAGGATACAACATGAAAAAAAAACATTGCACAGCAAATTGACAGAAATTGTTGAAATCTTTCACAAGTAGCAATAAAGTCTTTAGAACTCGCACCTGAAATCACGCTGAAATTGCACACAAATCGCACGATTTTAAATCACAGCAGTGTGATCGGTGACTAAAGAAAAGCACAAAACCCGTGTGTTGCATTTGCAGTGCCATTTATTATTAATGACATCCCAAACGCAGCAAGCAGATGCAAATTCTGTCACATGAAAAAGATCTGAGGCTCAAAGTTCAAAACGGAGCATGAGCAACTTTGCCGCGTTTGTTGCCTGTAGGGCAGCACTTTGAAATGTACAGGTTCACAAGAGAAATGTTGGCATTCCCGCAAGTCATTATAGAACTACAAGTCTCAGCATGCTCACCCAGAACACTGCTTTCTGATGTCACTGTTTCAAGAGCCCACAATGTCTGTAAACACAATGATCTGACACAGTGATAGGACCAGGGATCTCACCATGAGGACAATGCGGAGAGTCCTCCTTCCTCTGATCACTCAGCAGGACCTGGAATCCATCTGACATGTGTGATTCTGTGTCTGCCTCCATGCTGACTGCTGGAAGATGTCTGATGACATCACAGTCACATGACTGCAGTTGGGTGGGGGGAGTGCATCATGTGACAGCACTGAGCAGAAAGTGAAAGAAAGCATGGATAGTAGGATGACAGTGAGCTGCCTGAACGTACAATGGGGGGAACCGATCCAAACTGGAGCAGACAGAATACGGAGCCGTTGTGCATGGCAACCAATCAGCTTCTATCTTCAGCTTGTTAAAGCAGAACTCTGGTTAAAGCTTTTATTTTCCCATGAAGTGGGGCTGTGCCTGCACTGCATGGGTTAAGTGCTCCTTTTGTCCAGGGGCTCAGCTGTACTTTCCTCCAGCACTCTGGAAAACCACGCTCCCTAGGGTTGCCACCTCTTCCCTTTAAAACCGAACATTTTCTGTGGATGATTAGGTGGTAATTAGAATCACTGAGGCCCCTTTCACACGGGCAGTCCCTATCGACATTTTTCATCTGTTCGTTTACAGATGAAAAACGGACACTTATGTATTTCTACGGACTAGCGAATGTAAACGGATAATCATCTGTTTACATCCGTTAATGTCCGCATCCGGTAACATCCGTTTTTTTGAACAGAAGAAAACCCTATTTTTCTTCCATTAAAAAAAACAAAACGAATGTAAAACAAACAAAAACAGATGTAAAGGGACACAACGGATTAAATCAGGTGAAAACGGATGAAAAAACTGATGAAAAGCGGATGAAAACTAAGGAAAAACTGATGTGAACTGATGAAAAACCAATGTGAACTGATCCGTTTTTTCTTGGAAAAACTGGACTGAACTGATGAAAAAAACGGAACACCCGTGTGAAAGGGGCCTTAGTGTCTCATCTACATTCAGTTAACCTCAGAACCTCTGCAATTCATATGTGTTTGGTTTTAAAGGGATGAGGTGGCAACCCTAGCGCTCCCCCATGTTGAGCAATGGACTGTTCCTGCCAACCTCACTTCTGGAGCTGGTCTATGGACATGATGACATCAGGAACAGCCCATTCACAAGACCGCTAGCGTGCAGGGGGGCAGGAGCAGCAGGGACTGGTCTTGCACTTGGAGGATCCGTAGATTAGGTAAGTATATCTTTTCTTTCTGAGCCTCTAGACCTGCCTTTCTCAAACTTTTCAACACAAAGGAACCCTTGAAATAATGTTCCGGTCTCAGGGAACCCCTGCTACTAATGACTATATCTACAACTCATGGTCAGTGGGAAGAATGTTCCTTACACTTGTGGTCACTGGGAGGAATTACCCTCTTCCAGATAGCTAAAAAGATCAATGGTGTTAGTGGGAACATATCATTGCCCAAGGAACCCCTAGCAACCTCTGGAGGAACCCTAATTGAGAAACCCAGCCCTAGAAAAAAACAAGCATTTAAAGCAGAACTTCACTCTCTAAATCAACATTGACTATTTGTAATCAATCTGCTGCTAGCATTACTAAAAAATAGAAAAAATATGTGATATTTACTTGTTTTAAACTTTTTTTTTTTTTACATTTTTTAGACTTGTAGCATACAACATGGTTTGTGTTGTCTGCAATTTTTTTTTTCTTATCCTTGTTGGCTCAGTTTATACTTCATGAGTAGTGAACAGGGCATTGTAGCCCGGCTGTGTAAGCACTACCTACAGCATTCAGACCCCAGCTATGATTTATGCTTTCAGGAGGCAAGCAGAATGGTTTCTGTAAATCACAAAGTGTTGTATGCTCTTCTGCATCCAAGACCTATACCAGTGCTCCAGTGTACACAAGTTCAGAATATAATGAAGGAGAGTGGGCACAAGAAGAATGACCAGAAAGATGCAAGTACTGACCAACAGCCAATTGTTCAATAAATGACTATCTTCTATAGCTTCCTATTACATGGAGGACTGCCAACTGCATACTTCCCAACTTTCTGAAATGATAATGAAGGACACATTTTAGCACACAGTATGTATTGTAGGCAAAGGACACATCCCTGTCATGACCCTGGTTACAGAGACCACAAAGATTTAATATGTAGAAAATGATTGGCAAATCCACACAAGTGCTTTTTTTTACCTTTTTTCTCCCTTTGTATTGGTTTTCAAAATAACAAATGCAGTAATATGTGGATAAAAGGTTTTGGCAGTAAAATAGTACATTTTGTATAGAAATACTGTATATACATCAGACCAAGAAGAGGGACAACTGGGGCTGCACAGGGGACAGATGGATTTGGTCTCAAAAGAGGGACAGCCCCTCCAAATGAGAACATCTGAAATACAGTAGATAAATGTACTGCAGAAAAGTCCATGACATTCCATTGCTATGCACCTTCTGAAACAGAGGGCAGTATCACACTGTCAATTATCTTTTTGCTGACGACAACAATATTGTCAACAACATGCAACTAGTTAAGGTTTGCTATTTGTAAATATCAGCTTTACAGATACATTTTATGTAATGCATAGAGAAAACAATATCTGTGAAGGTTCCCATATATCCGGATCATGGTATGTCTAATAGCAGTTGGTCATATTGTGCTAGATTTGTTCTGTAATGTTGAAAATGCTTCATAGTTTCTCCAAACCACATGTAGGCAGGTTGCCTACAACAAGCAGTTGGAGAGACAGTTGGCCCAGGCTGGGGAAGCTATGTTTTCAAGTTTTTTGGACCCAGCATACCTGCCCTTTGATGTATATACACTCACCGGCCACTATATTAGGTACACCTGTTCAATTGCTTGGTAACACAAATTGCTAATTAGCCAATCACATGGCAGCAACTCAATGCATTTAGGCATCTAGATGTGGTAAAGACGACTTGCTAAATTTTAAACCGAGCATCAGAATGGGGAAGAAAGGGGATTTAAGTGACTTTGAACATAGCATGGTTGTTGGTGCCAGAAAGGCTAGTCTGAATATTTCAAAAACTGCAGATCTACTGGGATCTTCACACTTATCCATCTCTAGGGTTTACAGAGAATGGTCTGGAAAAGAGAAAATATCCAGTGAGTGGCAGTTTTGTGGTTGAAAATGCCTAGTTGATGTCAGAGGAGGATGGGCAGACTGGTTCCTGTGACATTCAGATGGTAGGGTCAGAATTTGGTGTAAACAACATGAAAGCTTGGATTTATCCTGCCTTGTATCAATGGTTCAGGTTGGTGGTGGTGATGTAATGGTGTGGGGGATATTGTCTTGGCACTAGCAAAGTGTACTTAATAAAGTGGCCAGTGAGTGTATATATAGGGGGGAAGGTTGGATAGGAGGTTGCCCGATTGATCAGGATGTCACGACACAGTGAAGCTACAGAGGGGTACTGCTGCTACCTGGAGTACGCCTGAAGATACCAGTTCCCGGAGAATGCCGCACTATGGACAATGCCAGAGATGGATTAACACCTTTCAGAGGCAGGCCTGGGCCTGCTAGTTTAGTAAGTTACTGTTCATGTTGGACTGTACTGCAGATTGTTAAATAAAAGTTGCAGCAACTATTCCAAGCCTGGTCTGAAGTAATTCAAAGGGGTACATGTTGATTCCTAGTGTATAAAACAAACTTGGGTGAGTAAAAACACATTTAGGGTATGAAGCAAGGCCACTACAAAGGGTTAACTCACCAAGACAAGTCGAAGGACAAGTACAGTTGCTATGAGTGCAAGTGTCCAACAGCCAGTTGTTAGCGTGGTACCTGGCATGAGTGAAGGGCCCTCCAGTAGAGAGGGGGTCAGCGATCTGATACCCTCCCTTAGTGGTAAGTTTCCCCATTATGGAGACCCACAGCCTAGCCACATGGTACGGAAGAGATTAAAGGAGTTCTTGAAGAACATGCATGAGGTCCTTGCAAGTGCTTGATGGGACCTCGTTCTGTCACCACACTAGACTGGTGGAGAGCACATGAGCTCCACAATGTCCCTCCTAAATGTGACATGTTACAAGTAGGGTGTGTAGTGACACGGGACTTTATAGAGGAACCCAGCCTACAGTTCATCTCTGAGTTGGAGTGCACCTGAATGCCATCATGCTTGGTGCCAGGCATTGATGAGCACAAACACACATCCAAAGGTACCCCATGGGCACAGGTGAGTGACCCTGCTCACAGCCTGGCAAGTTTGCATCTTTCCAATATGGCATAGCCGGAGCAGCTCAGTCAGCCCACACTCTTCAGTTCTAATATCAGGAAAATACTGCAGCATTTATATTGGCGCTATCTGTGTGGACAGTTGCATACCTAACAACCATCCTGGATTCACCAAGACCATCTCAGGATTTGATGTTAGTCCTGGAGAATCAAGGCTGAGTCCTGGATCCGGAGCAAAGTGCAGGAACAAGTTCCAGCACTTGTGTCTAGTGATGTGACTAACATGGGAACCAACCTACCCTGCAGCTTGTGCGGTGTGTATGGGGTACCACATGCCACGATCCAGTGTCTCAAGATATACATCTGCGCTAGGATGAATGTGCACAAGAGCAGCTGCAATCAAAGTGCTCTTACACTGTAAATTAGGGGTCTACAAAATCATCAAAATAAATCTTCACAGCGTTATGTGCTGCAATCAAATGTCATAAATCACTATGCATAATAAACCAAAAATATATTACAGATAAAATAAATAAAAAATAAAGTCCACTGAATCATATACCACCATGTGGTTGACAAAAATTGTGAATCAGACAGAAAAATGAAAAAAAAAAAAACACTGGCTCCCTTCTTCATTGTCTGCCCAATTAGCGTTCCACCAACATGTCAACCTAGCCTCTATGTCACTGCTCAATTCCCCATTGTCAGACACCATATGGCCAACAACCCACCACCTGGTTATTAACTAGCTGCAGAATTCCTGGATTCCAGTTAGTAGGGCAACAAGCGTACGAACATAAACCTCTTCATATACTATACCAAGCTTGCTGAATTTTTAAAGTGGTTGTAAACCTCAGACATGAAATATGAACAGAGCATATCCCTCTATAGTGTGTACTTGTCTCAGGAACACTAGAGTGTCCTTTCTGTCTGCTGCCTCATTCCTCTGCTATCAGCATGAGTCACTT